TTGTAAAGCACCAGTCGCTCTGTCCACTGGAGGGAAGGGTCAGTTTGTGACAATCCCCGTGGTGCGCTGCGCCGCCACCAGCTCCCAAAAGTCAGTAATTTCACTCGTCTTTATTCGTTGGCTGAATAAAAAAGCAATTCTCTCCTTTGCTGAAGACAATTTACCACAGAGCTCATCTCAGGGGTAATTCAATCTTCATGCTGTGGGAGAGACACACCAACACAGAGTCGCAGATTGCTTCACTCATGCGGACACATACAAATACAGCAGCAAACGCACACAGTTCGAAAAAACCACAAAGTGAAAGCCAAGGCTACAAACGCTTGCTTTACTTGTAGGCGCGTACTACCGCATGACTGCACACACACACACACACACACACACACTCGGTGGAGGATGTGTGAAATGAACAGAAGAGTCAGTTAATGGCGCTAATGGAAATTATCCATGTCTGGTTCCCACTGGCCACAGCTTAAAGGACTGGTCCTGTTTACTACATTACCCTCAACCCCTTTGGGAGATGGCATGTTAGTAGCCAAGGTAACATCATCGGCATATTCTCTTCTGTCCTCACTTTTAATCTAGTTTGCACTTTGCTCCTTTCCTTTCTCCCCTTTCCTTTTATTTCTGCTATTTCCCTACAGATGCTCCATCAGTGCTGCCTTCAAATGATTAAAGGTGCCTTTTATGTAAAACAAACCTTTGCTGCTCTGTTTACTCAACATGTAGATATAACCCATGATCAAACAGCCAGGCGAATTCTATCATGCCAAGAAACAGAATTTTACCTCCTGGAGGGAACCATTGTGGTGTTTTTTCATCTTTTAATCACATCTCAACCTTGGTTAACACACAGTTACACAGAGCCCCTTTATGTGATGCCCGATTTTTGTATGTTTCCTTGTACATGTTTAGAATTTGTCTTGTTTCCTTTGTATATTTTTTTTTTTGGAAAAAAAAATAAAAATCATGTCGATTAAATGTTAATATTTTCCCATTAGGGCGTCGGGCTTGATGTTGCAGCGCTATAAGCTGCCAGTGACTTCAAACAGACTTAATCAATGTGAGGAAATGAGACGTCTGCTTCAACTTTCTCAAGGAAAATCAGGTTCTCTGATGTTAAATATCTGGCACCAACATTGCCCGGGTTAGACTCCAGTTCCACTGCAGTTCAAGTGAGGCTAATTAAATGTTTTTTAGATCAACGAACTTGATTTAAATTACATTTTTCAACTGTTGATTAAAGCCAATAATCGCACTAATTTTAGAAAAAAAAAGACTAAAACATTTAGAGCCTGACGGATGCCCCCAAACTCACATTTCTTCTTCTCAGTTGGATCGCTCTTGAATTATTTATTACAGCGTGATGCAGCGCACATCAAATTGAGCTGCATGATTTGACCTTTCCAGCGACGCTAGTTACGTTTCTGCGCGACAAAGTGTCACCGAGAAACAATATTTTGAATTTACATTAAATGTAATCATACATACAACCAGCAAACAGCTCTGCGTCCATCTGCACATCCATTACTCTGGTTTGATTTACTGTTGGACTCATCATTGCATGCAGGGTTCTCGCCAGCGTTATAACAGAGTAAAGGCCTGTTGCGCTGCTGCCTGAAAAAAATTGCGCTGCAAATTGGGCCGTCACGTTGTTTTCGAGGGTATGTAGCGGGAAAATAACCATTTCTCTACGGTGATTGCACCTGGCTAACTTACATGTATTCAGGCCCGAAGACGCAAACGTCATAGCTAACGGCTCCCCCAAATCATGGATATGTTAACATATGCAATGCAAATTTCTGTGTTGTTTCCTATGTAAGCCTGACATTACATCCCACTTTGTATGGAAAATAAATGCAAGACAATTTGCCTGCTTTTCATTCAAAGTGGCCATTAAGGGCCTCTTGTTTTGAGGTGGGGGCAGTTGGAACGCAAATATTTGCCTCTGCAAGTGCCCTGCTGTATGTCAACACTTCAGTGAATACAGCAATGACATTTATTTCCATTTGGCACTAAGTACATGTTCCACCATCAGAAACCACACAGATTCTCCGACGCAATCAGATGTAAGTGTCTCTACTGTCATACATGCAAAAACAAGAACAAGCTGCTATGCTATGTATGGCTAATACTGACCAAGAAAAGAGCTTTAAGCAAAGTGAGTGAAATAACTGTGAAACTAGCTGAAGGATTCAAGGGTTAACAGGAACATATTAGAAAAAGAATGCTTTTTGTGAATCAGTTTCTCTGACTAACACTTAGAGCAAA